ATCTACGTGGTCGGGGCTCGCGGGCTGGACTGCAGTGTAGGGGGGCTGCACGGCGAGGGCCCGCCCCAGCCGCTGGAAGCCCCGCATTGGGGTCCGTTGGCCTCCTGGGGTTATTCTCAGGTTGTCTTGTCAGCTCCCATGCACGAGGTCCCCGCCCCACCTGCAAGCGGCACCGGCTGCTGGCTGTGGGCGTGGCCGCTTGGGGCCCACTCTCCTGAAGCTCCTCACAGTCTGGTGGGCCCCGTTTCCCCCTGACCATCTTCGGGGCGTCCTGAGGAACAAGGGAGTCTCTGAGGGGCCTGAACCGCCCACTCTGGCTGCTGTTCAGGCCCCTCTCGGCTCTGACGGTGACAGCTGACATCTGCAGGAGACTTCTCATGAGGAGTGGGGCTGGCACTTGTCACACCTCAGGGGTCTGAGTCAGGGTCCGAGCGGTTCCCTGGGGACAGCTCAGCTGTAGGGTGTAGCGACCACAGGTGGCCTTGGTCCCCATGTCCCCACCCCCCATTCGGCAGTGGGAGGTGGGAGGCTGGGCCGACCCTGCAGTGGCATGTGGGGTTGAGGATGGGTGTCCCTGGGGATGGCCCCGAGGGAGCTGGCCTGCTGGGAGCCGCCAGGCCTTGCCGCCACGCCCACCCCAGTGAGCCGAGCTGGGCTTGCAGCTGGGCGGTCAGCTGGGTGGTCTAGGGGGCAGTCAGGCTGTCAGCCCTGACCCTGGGGCACCTCTGTGGCCACTTGGGGTTCTGGGGTCAGCGAGGGTGATGCAGGGCCTGGAGGGGCCGGGCCTTGGAGTAGCCTCGGCTTGGGCTCTGCTTCTTGGGGGGCTGTGGGCACTGCAGGCTGCTGGGGAGCAGTGGGCGCCCAGGGCGCCTGAGGCCAGTGTCTGGGCGGGGTGCGGCCTCTCTTGACTCACGAGTGGCCGACTTCTCTTGCAGGTTGGAGGCCAGGGCCCTGACTGGGACACTGCACAGCGGGCCGCACGGGAGGCCGTGGCACAGGAGCTGGCGGCTCTGCGACAGGCCTGGGAGCGAGGTGGGGGCCTGGCCCAGCCCCACGGACGCAGTGGGCGCCTGAGGCCAGTGTCTGGGCGGGGTGCGGCCTCTCTTGACTCACGAGTGGCCGACTTCTCTTGCAGGTTGGAGGCCAGGGCCCTGACTGGGACACTGCACAGCGGGCCGCACGGGAGGCCGTGGCACAGGAGCTGGCGGCTCTGCGACAGGCCTGGGAGCGAGGTGGGGGCCTGGCCCAGCCCCACGGACCCCACCGGCTGGTCAGGAGTGAGGCTGGGCTCCCTGCGGGTCCTGGCCTGCGGGCTGCCGAGGTGATTGGGGCACTGAGGAGCCAGGAGGCCTGCCTGGAGGCGACGCTGCACCAGCTTCAGGGACGGTGCCGGCAGGAGCTGGCCAGGCTGGCGAGAGCCAAGCCCGGCCTCATCTGGATCCCGCCACCTGGACGCTGAGGGGTGTGGCTGTGCCCTCCCGGGCTGGGGCCTGACGCTTGTTATGGCTCAGCCAGGCTGGGTGGCCACGGGGCCGACGTAGAAGCAGAGCCGGGTACTGCACCTCCTGTGGCCCCCAGCTGCCCCTACTTTGGACAGAGCTCAGCCGCGTGGCCAACAGCAGGGGCTGTCCCCTCTGAAGAGGTCATGACATGTCCAGTGTGGTGGCCATAGGCTCTCAGGGTCCAGCGAAGACTCAGAAATAAATCATGGAGGCCTCCGTGCAGGGGCCAGGCTGCCACGTTTTTCCGTGTCTATCTGGGGACGGCAGTGGGAAGGGGACCCTGGACAGTGGTGGTGGAGGCTGGGCTGGGCCAGGGGTGCCAGGGGTGGAGGGACAGGCATGACCGGTCCCGGGGCGGGACTGCCCTGTATGCCCCCGCACCCCGTCCAGGCTCCCCCCGCACCACCTGGGCCGTGCCTGCACCTGGTGCCTGCACACCAGGGCACAGTGGAAGTCGGGGGGTAGGGGCTCTGCTCCTTTCCTGGGAGTGGTGCCCCAGGGCTGAGGGGAGGCCACTGTGAACAGAGGGGCTTTGTCCCCGAGGCCACTCGGTGGGTGGGGCTGCCTTGACAAAGAGCCATCTGTGTGTGGAGCGCCCAGCTGCTGGAGCAGCTCCCAGCCCACCCCGGGCGGCACGGGCAGCCTCGGCCCCTCTTCCCAGGGCAGCAGAACCCCGACTTGCTGCTGGGCAGGCCACGGGGCCCCTGGGCTGCCTTCTGCTGCTGGTCGGCTCAGGCCCTCGCCACTGCCAGCCCCGAGCCTCCTGGGCCCACGCGAGATCCTGCTCATCGGCTTCTCCTGCCTGCCCTGGGCTGTGCTGGGTCAGTGGCACCTTGGCCAGTCTGGGGTCTGGTGGACACAGGCTTCAGGAGCACCGGCCAGGCCAGGCAGTGGCCAGCGGGTCCTCCCTTGCAGAAGCCCGTCCCTGACCCTGTCCTCATGGGGCCGGTGCCCACGCTTCCCACTGGGCTCCCTGCCCCAGGCCCCTCAGCACCACCTCCTCAGCTCCCCTTAGGGCTGTCACTTCCTGCTGGCTCTGCCTGTGGCCAGGGCACAGGGGACCTGACCCTCCACCTGCATCTGAAGTCACTTCCGGACTCCCTGCCACTGACCCCACTCTGTGCCCTCAGCCGCCTCCTTCTGGAAATGCCCTGCCCTGTGCGGACTGCCTTCCAGAACCCGGTTCTGGAGATCTCAATACAAGCACAGTGTCACCGAGCTGCCAGCTCTCGGGTCACTCAGTCATTCCACGCCCATCCCCCCACGCGGCGGCATCTGTGTGAAGTGTCTGGGTGGACGGCCAGGCGGGGCGGGGGCGGGCTGTGGTGGCGGCAGGTGGGTGGTGGCGCTGGGCATGCCCCTGGCGGATGGTGGCAGACCGTTCTGAGGCCCGAAGTCCGGCGGTGTCGCCAGACAGGCCAGGCATTGGCAGTCCTCAGTGTCCACACAGGCTGCCGTCCCCTCCACGTCCCCTGTGAGCTCACTGCCCCTGCCAGCCCCAGGCAACCTCGGTCCCCTTCTGCCTGTGACAGAACGGTTCACAGGCCCGCTGCCAGGGCCGACACCACAGAACAGACCAGGTTGCGGACAGCGACAGCCTGGGCCAGCACGGGGCCACGGGGCTTGTCTGGACGAACCAGTGTCCAGTGAGGACAGACAGCCCTGCAGGAGGTGATGGCACCACCGGGCCAGGAGTGGCTCCCCAAGGCCCTGAGAGGCCAGACAGTGCCCACACTGGGCCTGCTACGTGGTGGCCAGCAGGACGCATGGACAGCAGGGCCAGGGCCGATGTGTGGCGTCCGTAGCCGATAAAGAGTTGGTGTGGAGAAGATGGAACCGTCAATCCCTGTGAAAAAAGTGGGCAAATGAGCAAAACCCAAGGATGGGCACTGCCCGGGAGGGGAGTGAGGAGGGCGGCTGAGCCGAGACGCTGGACTCTGTGACCGGGCGGCGAGCGGCCGGAGGTGTGCGCCGTGGCCGGCCGAGCCGGCGGCAGCAGAGCAGGGAGCTGATGCCCGTCCCTGGAGAGCGCTGCGGCTGAGGACAGAGCCGGAGGCCTGGGGGCTGGGCGGGGAGCCTGGGGCTTCTGAGGAAACACACGTCTCAGGTGACAGACCACGGGAGCCGCGACTTGGCAGGGAGGTGGCATCTGTGCAGTGACCTCGAGACAGCGAGGGTGCCGAGGGCGCAGGGCTCGGGCAGGGCTGCGTTGGCGCCGACCTACACGCCGGCTCTCTGGGCGTGTCCGGGACAGGAAGAGCCCATGGACTGAGGTGGCCCCCATGAGCCTGCTGTCCGCAGCGCCCACTGGCTGGCTCCTCCCCCGCTTCGGCTCAGGTTGACCTTGGTCTGACCTTGGCTTGGCGGGAGTGTCTGGCTAGCTGAGTCAGGACCATGGCCCTCCAGGGTTCCCCTGCAGCCTGCACCTCCACTGGACACCTGAGGGGGCCCCGGTGTTCAGATTTGGGGAATGGTGGGGAGCAGCACTTCTCAGCAGCATTTAGGAGAGAAATTGGTTGTTGGGGCACAGCTGGTGGCCTTGGTCTGCAGCTGCCTCCACCCGCATCCTCACCTGTGGCTGTGGCCCTGGCCTCCGGCCCTGCAAGCGCACATCAGCCCCCAAGCGCCTGTCCCCAACAGGGTTCTGGCTGCTGACTGCAGCCGGCCTCCTCCATCCCTTCCTGGCCCTGCTCGGCTGTTCCCTGACTCAGCAGTCAGCCAGGACTCCCCAGGTGCCTAACGGGGGCCAGTCCCAAGGCGGGGAGCAGGGCAGAGGGCCACGCCCCCTCTGCGGGGACAGCAGACACCATACACAAATGCACACTTAACAGGCGGGCGGCTGCGGACCAGCCGGGCAGGGGGCGAGGTGATGGACAGGGTGGTGGTCAGAAGGAGCCTGTTGGAGGGGGGAGGGATATCTGAGCAGAGGCCTGAAGGGGGACGAGGACAATGAGTGTCCGGTCGGGGAGGGTTGTGCGGGCAGAGGAAACGGGGTGCTTGTGGGGGCTGCAGTGACTCAGAGAGGAGGGTGCGGTGGGCAGGGACCTGGGGGCTTCTCCTGAGCTGAGTGGGGGCGTCTCTCACCCCCAAAGGCTCTGGGCCACTGGGTGCAGAGCCGGGCTCGGCGAGACGCCCCTGGGGTGCTGTGGGGGCCAGGGAAGCAGGCGAGACTGCCGAGCTTGTGAGCTCTGGCTCCTGGTTTGTTTATGTTCTCATTTACAGCCCCCAGGTCATTCCCCCACTTTCAAGGATAATTTTAAAAATTGTGGTAATAAACACATAACGTTAAATTTTCTATGCTAGCCGTTTTTGAGTGTATGGTGTATTCACATTGCTGTGACGTAGACCTCCAGGACTTTTTATCTTCCCCAAACGAACCTCTGCCCCATGGCTCACCGAGGCCCCACCACCCCCGCCCCGGCCCTGGCCCCACCACCTGCTTCCTGGCTCTGTGGGCCTGACTCCTGCGGGCCCTCGTATGTGTCACACAGTGTGTGTCCCTTTGTGACCGCTTATTTCACTTGGCATGATGTCCTCGAGGTTCATCGGTGTCGTAGCAGGTGTCAGATGCGTGTCCTTTGGAAGGCTGAGTGACGGTCCGCTGCGTGGGTGGACACGTGGCCGCTTCGGGCTCTTGGCTGCGGTGAGCGTGGGGCGCAGGTGCTCCTCTTCCTGGTTTAGTTTTATCGCTCTCCGGACAGTCAGGAGCCAGACGTGGACGTGACGGACATACTGCCTCTGGCGTCGCTCTCGGGGCTGATGGGCTCAGGGGCCCTGCTCGCTCTCAGTGCCTGGGCTCCTGGTGGCTCAGTGACCCTCACAGCGCCCCTCCTGACAGCACTGTCTGGCGGGCCCGGCAACAACTGTTTAGATCCTAACGACTTAGGAGCGGTTCGGAAAAAAGTACGAAACAAACCAACAGTCACACGCAAATTAAGAAAAAACTTAATTCTTAAACAGCTACAATTACTTGTTAATAGGACGTTTGACACTATTAGACCCCGCACGCCTTTCTAACCTTTACTAGTGGGCAAACCCAACCGACTTATTCACGAAGCACCTGGCATGTTGTGTATTCCTGTTTCCCTCAGAAATGAAGAATACCGTCTAGTGCCTGGGAATTCACTAGGACACCCTGGGGTGCCTGGGGAACCGCGGCCCTGACGACTGTGGTAGGTGTTTCCCCACCGAGTATCAGGCTCCGAAGCTCTGGCCTTGCTGCCGTGAGCACAGCTGATGACCGTTGCTACCCGGCGGGCGGCGTCCCAGACCCACTGGGTACCCCTCACCGCCCGCGGATGGCGCCCGGCTGCCCCAGCTGTCCTGGCGGCCCCGCTCTCTCGGGCTTTGGGATGTCCGCGCGCCCGCCAGCTCCCTCTGCGTTTCCCTCGGAGCACAGGCAGCAGGCGAGGAGGCGCTGAGCCGCCTCCTGTTCAGCGGACGCGTCCGGCCCCTGCAGCGAGCACCTGCTCCGGTGCAGCAGGGCTCTGCGGCTTCGGGTCTGCAGACCGCCGCCCCCACCGCCCCTGCTGTCGCCTCCCCGGTCACCGACCTGGGACTGCCGTCTCCTGAACACGGCTTTGCAGGGACTCTGAACATCTCAGATACGGATCTCGCGGGTTTTACTCACGATAAACATCTCTGCTCTGTCATCTCGTGGTTTCCTTTGCTGAACAGAAAACTTACACTTTGTTTTAATCGAGTTCATAGTTGTTTTGCCCCTCGGTTCACATCATGGATGTTTTTTCTTCAAGATGTGCCTCCCTGTGCAAGATCGCACGCTCCCCGCTTTCCTTCCGCCGCTCCTTCCTTAGGCCGAGGGCTCCGTGCCGAGCCCAGCCCTGGAGGTGGCGAGGCGCAGGCAGGGCCCCTCCATCCAGGGAGCGGGTGCCAGCACCGGCCGTGGGCAGACACGCCCTCTCCTCCTTGGTCCTGCCGCCACCTCCTCCACGCCGTC